CAGTTTTTTGTGCAGCTTGCTGCTGCAGCAGATGGGCCAATCCTGGTTTTACCAAGATGTCATGATGGTGGATGATTTGCAAGAACTAAGTGGCTCCTCTCCAAGGCATCATTCTTCCTTTTCCATTTCAGGAATACAGTAGGATTATTAATTGTCTGTACAAGAGTTAAAGTTTGGAGTGGGAGATAGGACATGGAGGTTTTTACTTTTTGTGAATTTTAAGCTTACATTCTCATGTCTCTGTAGTGAGAAATTCCATGTTCCTCAAGCAGTCTTCTGTGTTATGGAGACCTTAAATCCTATCTAAACAGAGGCTGCTGTAGCAGGGTATAGGAACACTTGGTGGAATTCTTTACACATTATTTATCCTAGTACTGCTACTGCTGCATTTCTGTTCTCTTACTTAAGGAGGGCAGTTTATCAATTGATGTTTGTACTCTGTTAGCACCATAACAGAATTGATTGACAGTTCTGCTTCAAGATAAAGTGGGCACCTTATTGCAAAACATGAATCTAATATGACATAGAACCGTTAAGAAAGGGGAAAAGAAGTTGGGAAATGTAGGTAAAGATGGAAAGGGATGCAGTCTTGTGCGACTGGAAATTGGATAGAAAGCAGTTCAGGGATGACTTTAACCAGTATGAATACAACTGGAGAAGAACAAAGAAGTCTTTGGTGTAGTCTAAAAATAAAAGGGAATGAAATTATTTATTTTACGTTAAAAAATCCAAGTCCTAGAGATGTTTGCTTTCAGAAAACCTAGTGATTTGTCAAGAGGGTTTTTTTTCAGTTGTAGGATAATCCATTCATTTTATGTCTTGTGGAATCTTCTGCTAAATTATCTTGGATACTGTGGAGTGGAACATTTTCCTCTGACTGTAGTTGTTCCACTGCAGACCTCATTCTGGAGTTGTGAGTCCTTTTAAGTATTGGGAAGAGCAGCTCTCAGGAACTTCGTAACAGAGAAGTGGGTGGTTCTGCAGGGACACACTAGAGACTTCAGAGTTCTTAGATGCCCAGTGTTCAACAGTTTCATGTTGTTGGTTCTTGTGTGTCAAAGCTATAGACTGTGGGTCCTGTCCTCTTGGATGAACGAAATTGTTATGAATTACATGTTGGCTGCTCTTTAAGTATTTCTTCCTTTTATTTCCTCTCACTAAGGACTTGTACCAAAAGAAGTTGAAACTGCAAGACCATCTCCTTTATCTAAAGCTTTTTTCTTTTTCCGTGCTTCTTTCTTTCTCTCTCTATTTTTTTAAACTCATGTCTCCTCAGCTGTCAGTACTTGAACACTTAAAAGCACTGAATCAGTGGAACACTGTTGTCCATGGAGGAGTTTGTAAATGGATATAAGCTACAGATGGGGCCTCTGAGAATGGACAGTGTGCCGGTCAGAGGTTTTGCTTTCACGTGCTGAATCATTGATGCTGCTCAGATGGGCAGCTGCTTTCAACACCCTGATGTTCTTTCCTCCATACAGGTAAAGCTGTGTTCCTGGCACGAGACAAGCACCATTTGGCAGACCTAAGCCATTTGATCCGTCACGATGCCCCGTACTTGTTTCAAAAATACGTTAAGGAGTCTCATGGCAAGGATGTGCGCGTCATCGTAGTGGGAGGCCGTGTGGTGGGCACCATGCTCCGCTGCTCGACAGATGGGAGGATGCAGAGTAACTGCTCACTTGGTAGGAAAAGCATTGCTCATAGTTTTGATCAGAATATTTCAACCCAGTTGAAAAATCACAAAGCTGACTGAAGTAAGCTGCAGGTGTTATTTTGTGTTAATTGTGCTTGCTGCTGGGGGTTTAAAGGGGAAACATGAGAGTAAGGATTAAGTAAGAAGCATGTTGAGCAAACAGAGAAGGAGAGATGATCTTTGCTCAAAGTGTTTGATAGATGGGATGATGACAAGCATGGGAAAGTTCTAGAACACAAATGGAGCAACTGATGTGGTAATGGCATTTTGATGCTAATGCTATGTTATCATTTGTTTCATCCTGTTGAGAGCAACAGAAAATGAAGGAAGAGAGAAAGCAACACTTAAGGGAGGTGGAGGAGTCAGTCATTTGGCAAGAGAGTAGAAGAAAATGTTAAGTGAGAAAGCTGTTGAAGGCAATAAGCAACTGGAATGCACTGTTCATTTTCTATGCTGCCTTAAGTCTATCAGATTTCTACCTGCTACCTCTTCCCACAAAGACCATACCTGGGAGAAAGAGGAGGTTACTGCATTGATTGTAGCATGTTCAGAACCGAGATTCTGCATAGGTTTGGATGTTGGACTTGAGAGTTTCTGAGGGTAAAAGGAGGCAGGACGCTTGAGGGTGACTCGCTGAAACTGTACCGAACCTGAGCAGGGATGGGATAAAATGTGTTCATGTATAGTGCAGTTTTGGTTAGTCAAAATGCCTAAGAGATTTTAGTTACTACTTCATGCAGAGGAAATATAGCCTGAAAGATTTTTCTGCTAATTTTTTTTTTGTTTGTTTGTTTATTTGTTTGTTTGTTTCTTATTATTTGGGTTATTTTTCAATTTAACTATTGCGATAGATGAAGCTTGAGCCAGATAATACTTGAGTGATGGACTATGACCCTGACAGCTGAGGTTCAGACATAGATGTTCCCTAATTCTTGCTTTAGAGACAGTAACCTGTGATAGCAAGTAGAGAGGTATGTGAGCAGATGATGATGTCTTAATTCCCATTCCTCTCAATTATATCTACAGTTACAGTTGTAATCTTAACAAGAGCTCTAGATTTAATTTTGCTGAAATATTTCTTCTGATCACGTACAAACATGTAAGGAAAGCCTCTACCTTAGAAGGAACAAGGGTGGTTTGTTAGTTCATTTTTTTAATATCCTGGGGTCATAAAAATGTGTATTTTTTCTTGACTAAAAAGTCATTGCTTAACTGTTTTTAAACAAGTCATAATCTTGACCTGCCAAAGGCAGGTCAGAATCTTTTGAAATCCTGGTGTGGCATCAAGTTCATTAGTAGTCACTGTGGAAAGGAGGTCACTTTCTGAGTCATCAGCAGTGCGTTTGCAGGCTGACTTTGAAGCTTCCCAATCGAAAATCACGGCCGGTTGAGAAGGATGTCAGTCCCTTGTGACCTGAGTGCAGACAGCAAGTTCTTTTCCCTTTTTCCAGGTGGTGTAGGAATGATGTGCTCGCTGAGCGAACAAGGCAAGCAGTTGGCAGTCCAAGTGTCAAACATCCTGGGGATGGATGTGTGCGGCATTGACCTGCTGATGAAGGACGACGGCTCATTCTACGTCTGCGAGGCCAATGCAAATGTAGGTTTCATTGCCTTTGACAAGGCTTGTAATTTAGACGTAGCTGGTATCATAGCGGACTATGCCGCTTCCCTGCTGGCCCCCGGCCGCTTGACGCGGCGCATGTCCTTGCTCTCCGTGGTGTCCACGGCCAGCGAGACTAGCGAGCCAGAGCTGGGCCCTCCAGCTGGGGCCGCTGTCGACAACATGAGTGCTAGCTCCAGCTCTGTCGACAGCGACCCTGAGACCACGGAGAGAGAGTTGCTCACCAAGCTCCCGGGGGCTCTCTTCAACATGAACCAGCTACTAGCCAATGAGATCAAGCTCCTTGTGGAGTGATGCCACGTGTAAATAGGTGACCAACAGAACTCTCTCTTGTAAATTTTTTTTTTAAACCAACTTGCAATGCTGTTTATCAGAGACGCTCAGAGGAATGAGGAAAGGGGGGTGGGTGTGTCAGTTGAGAGAGCAAAAGTAAAAGGCACACGTGCTGTGAATGCTGTCCCTACTCATTTGCAGAACATTAAATTGTCTTCATTCTTAGTCAGTTTTACGGTGGAGATACTCAGTTAGTAACCAAGCAGCAATTTTATTTGGATGCTGCTTTGGTCCCCAGATATATTGCAGTTCATGTGTCTTCACAGGAAAGCATTGAAGCATGATTCACACTTGAAGATTTTCAGAAAGTTGTCTGGCAGCTCTCTAGAAACTTCTGTGAATTGCTGCACCAGTTAAGTCTCTTCTACCTCTGTAAGGCTTGATCCTGTAAATTGTTTAGTGCCTCAAATTCTTTATGTGAGTTGAAGGTGTTAAATACCAAGTATTTCAAAATTCTTTGACACCTACTGTTCCTACTCTTGCAGATGGGAGCTGTAAGTTCAGGATCCTTTTAAAGTCATCACTTTCTGACCTTGCAGGATATGGCCTTTCAAATGATGAGGCTGAGAGAAGTGTCAGTTGACTTAATGTGAACTTTCTGTAAAAATCTGTAAATTGTACCATCTTGATATTAAGTGGCAGCTTTGTGTCTAAATTCCTTTTTAAAGGAGGATACTTCTATTTTTCTCATTTCAAATCCTGATTTTGGAAGGTATATAGGGGAATTGGTCATATTCTATTTGTGGGCAGAAGTGGCACGTTTTTACCTACTTTTTGCATGGTTGGAGGAGATAAACAGCACTGTAATGTTTGGTATACAAAATGATGTTTAATCTGAAAATGTGAAAAAGAATTACACTAGTTTAAAGCAAACGTGCATCGACTTGTATTTGTTAGTGTTTTAGTCTTTCTGAGAGAGATCTGCAATGTTAATGTTCCTTTTTCTTTAATACATGCTAGTCCAACACTCCCTTCTCTATGCCTGCATCTTTAACAGTGGCCAAAGTGAAAACACCGCAGACTGTTTGTTAAGAAAACACTGAGTTATAGCCTGTACATTGGTGGGGGGTTGTTTGTTTGTTTTTGTTTGCTTTTTTTTGGAGGGAGGAATGTGTTAAGGTGTGGAGGAGGGAAGAGCTGGTTAAAAGTGATTAGTCATCCAGAGGAACTTTAGAATAAAGCTGCAGTTCATACAATACTTACCAGGCTTACTTTTTCCCCACTGAACATAAGAACTTGATGTTGGCATAAATCCAAAGAGTATAACTGGGGAGAAATATTCAGTTCTTAGCTTTGGAAAACGTGGCAGATTTGAAAAAGGCAAAAAAAAAAAAAAAATAGAAGGAAAAAGAAAAAAAAAGAGAGCTCAGCCAGAGTTTGAAAAAGAAACAAAAAAACACCCTAGGTCCACAAACAATTAAGGGATTGATCCTAGACCCTTACATGTGTGTGGTGTGAGTGCACACACTCGTGTGTGTTTGTGTGTGCACAATTGTTTTGCTTTATTTTTTTGAGAGTGTTGGCTGTTTAGCTCCTAATTTTTTTTCAGACTTCCTGATTTTCCTTAATCCTTCTGGCTGTGCGTTTTGTCATTGGCCTTGAGCTGGTTTGGAAAACAAATAACCAAAACAGATACTGAGTCCATCTTTCAGTCCCTGTCTTCCTCCTCCTTTTCCTCCTCCTTCTCCCTTTTCATTCCCCTCTTATTCTCGGGGTTCATAAAGCCCTGCAACTATATATATATATATATAAATATATATATAAAGATAAGCCTCTTTTTTAAAAACAAAAAGTAAAACGTTTACAATTGAAAAATCATCTTGTGAAAATAGGTTTGTTTGGAGGGGGGTTGTGTGTGTGCAATGCTGCTGTTTTCTGGATACTTTAATGGAGCATGTCCCATGTACCCTCTGAGGTTCTGCACTGCCCACCTCTGTGGCCCTTCCTCACCTCTCTGCTGCTCTGCTGTTTTACCTTCACTTGGACCTTAAACACAACTCACGGACACTATGCAGAGAGTCTTCAAGAGGCAATAAACAGAACAGTATTAACCTACTTTATGGAGGTTTGATCATGCTTCTTTGTACAGTTTGGTTTTTTTATTTTGAAAGGAATGTAATAAAATGACTTTTTTTTTTTTTTTTGTAGAATTAAATATTATTATTAAAATCAAGTGAAAGGTTGACTGTTGGTGTTAAGCAGGAGGGTGGACCTGCTGGTCCAGCAAAAAAAAGATCATCAGCAGTAAAGGTATTTTCAAATCCTTCTTACTGAGCCTTCAAGTGCACAGGTTATACCTGAAGAATATAAAGGTCTTCAGCTTCTGTGAAGAGTTACAGAATGACAGAACATGAAAGTAACCTAATTCTCTAGTCACTGAGCAGTAAATTGTCTCTTCCACGAGCTCTACTTCCCTTGCTTGTTTATCCAAGGGGAATTTGGGGTGGAGGGTGGCTCTTTTTTGTTGTTGTTATTTTTTCTTTTTTTGTCTCTTCCTTTTTACTGGTAGGTGCCTGCATTCCTTGACAGGCTGATAGGGTCAATCCTTCCCTTTCTAGCTGTGACATACATTGAGCACATGTGGAATAACAGCAGGGAGTAAACAGGTGCTAGTTGGTACACAAAGGGCTTTTCTATCACAGGAAACATCTTTTGGATGAAAGTTAACTGAATATTCTGGATTGTTTTTTTGAATCCCCATAGTATCTTGTAGTTCACAGGAACCTTACATTTCTAGCACCCTTTCAGAATGTCTGGGTTACACCTCACAGTTATAAAATTCGTGAAGTAAATATAAGATTTTTTAAAAAAAGACCAAGCCGGCTTAGAGATTTGCACTTTGACTCCCTTCTGATAAGTTGCTCCTCTGTTGGTGCTTCCATGACTAGTTTGGAGATAAGTCTATGCATAGTGGTCACAGAGGGAGACAGGATTTGAAACATCCTGTGCATGTGTTTATATATCGGGTACTGATGCCGAGTGAAAACCTTGCTTGAGGGTTCATTTGTACAAATGGGCACACTTGTCTCATGTATTACTCCCTGCTTAACCCATTGCTCCTGAAACAGTGAAATGCAAAGAATGGCCTGGAGGTGCAACGGGTGGTGTCTTGTTTTTACTCAAAGGGAAAAACACCAACTAAACTAGTCCATGGTAACCAGGCAGTGTTTCCCATTGAAGGTGAACTCCACAGATATCAGCTTTATACACTTTATTTTCTTCAATTCCATCTGCTGAAAATCACATGCTAAACTTCCATACAGTTGCACTAACACTACCTCCATGTGTGGGTTTGGAAGCATGGGCTGAAAAAATGGTCAACATAGTGGTGGATTACAGTGGTGCCAATACAGCTGATGGTGATACAACTATTTTTGTATATTTTAATGTTTGAAAGAGCCACTTAGAAATTTGTTTGCAGGAAAAAGTTTCTTAAACTACATCTGGTGAAATTTTGTTCTCTGTAACACTGGAGATTTTATTCTGTTCAGCTTACTGTGTTTGTAATTGATGTCTTGCTGTCAATGTATGAATTGTATCCTAATCCTTGTATTTAATGCTTTAATGTGTTTTATAAAATCTTTTCTTGTAATGTTACAACACCTTATCTGTAAAACAGTGTCAATGCTTGATGTTTACATTGACTGTTACATTTTTTGTTCTGAGCTGACGGTCAGTCTTGAAGCCTTTTCTCCCACTTCGTGTGCTATCTTTGCTGTGAGATATTTACTCGGGAAATAACCTCTGGAACATCTGGGTATGTCAGACGCAAAGGAGATACTTCTTCAGATGTTATACCCGACTACAAAATCCAACGAATGAAACCAGTGACGCTGGCCAAATTCCCTCATTGCAAAAATCTGTCAGTTAAATACATAAGGGACCATAAGGGCTTAGAGAGACTTTGAAAACAGATTGTACAGTATCTTTCTCATGGCTCACTCTTTTTGAGAAGGTTTATGGGCTTTATGGCTGGTGTGAGACACACGACCCACTCCTGTTCTCTCTATGGAATAGTAGGTGCTCGGACAGGTAACTTCTGTTGCTACTGTCTTTTTTAATTTTTAATTTTTTCACTGTTTTAGGAATTGTTTTAAACTGAACACTGCAGTATTTATAACCAGGTGTTTGCTGCCTTTTCCTTTGTTTTATTTATTTAAATCTTTCTTAACCTTTGAGGGTGACTTTTGGAGAATTCTGATAGTGGATCTGCTGTTGGAAGTCTCCAAGCCTCCCATGTTTCTAATTTGAGTTGAAAAGCTTTTGTTTTTTTTTTATTTGTTTAAAACAATGACACAAATTAACTGTGCGTATTTCGGGTGGGATTTGCTGTTGTGCTATTTTGGATGACTTATTCTCCCTTTTTTTACAGAAATGTGTTCTAACAGTTCACACTTTGTTACTGTTCTTTGCAAAACTTTTCAGGAGCCAAAAAAGTCAAACAATCCAGAGAAAACCCCTTCTCCCCTTTCCGATGGCAAGAGTGAGAACTTATGAAAAATCCTTGCGAATGTTCCTTCCTAAACTTTTCCCCCCAGTAATGCAAGCGGGTAAAATGGTAAATGCAGCAGTTTGGTGACATCCAAAACCGACCTGTTGTCAGGTAAATTGACACTTTTCTGCTCTTACTCTAACCTTGATAAGTTTGCTAACTTGTCTGCCTTCCTTTCTTCCCATCAGTTCATTTTGGTGATACTTGTTGAATGATTTCTTTAACCGGATTTAGAGAAAACCCTGCTTTACTTCCTTATTTCCCCTCCTTGTACTTGTTGACTTGTAAGAAAACTGTCATTGTGCTTTACTGAGGTGAGACAAAAGTGAGTCCCCCATGCAACTGTATGAGGAATAGTTTTGTAATACATTAATTCTCCTTCCTCTTTATCAATTTTAGGTTGTCTTCAAGTGTACTGTTTTAGCTTAGATTTTTGAAAGATATGTTGCTTTCCATTTGCTAAGTGAACATAAAATATAACTGCAGAAGTAAGTAGCTGATAGGAATGAATGAACTAGTACTAAGAATGTTAATTCTATTAAAATTCAATAGACAGGATCCTGTAAAGAGGACAGATGGACGAATATGTGTGCTGCAGAAAAAGACTGTTGAGCTGATGATTTCTGTTTGTGGAGGATGGGGTGACACATTTTATCTTGCCCTTACTGCTGTATTAAAGCACTTGTACATTTTATCCTTCTCTGGTAACTCTCTCCCTTCATCTCAAACAATGTAAAAGTACTGGGTACTTAATATTTTTTTACTTAATTTAAGGGGGAGAATGTTGTATTTTACTCAGAGGTAAAATGTCAGACAATTGGAATACCCTTCCAAGATGAAGAATATTAGCCTGCAAACAGGCTTCCAAGTTTCCTGATGCAGTATTATATTTCCCAGGACATCTGTAAAGAATTAGCACTTGTTTCAGATTATTTTTCTGTGTACATTAATTACTCCTCTATACCATCATAAAATAGTCAATGTTTCATAGTCTCAGTTTGTATTTTCCTGAAAGAAAGCAAACTTACCAGCAACATAATAAATTGTAGCTTCAAGTTAAGGTGGGAGGGAATAATTTTAGAGCCAAATTTTGCTCTCAATTACACTGAGATAAACCTGGAATCACTCTGTGAAAGTCATTGGAGTGATATCCGATTTCACTGGTATAATTGAGTGTATAATTTGTGTCTTTTAATTTTACTTGCAAGGTAATTTTACAAACCTGTTATACTTATGTTTCCAATGCTTTTTCCTTTCAGACATACCCACTTCTTGCGTCTCAGCATTGGGCAGGCCTATTCCTTTATTTGTGTATATTTTTGTGCATCAGCTGCTATAGGACACGGGTGTTACACTTTCAGGCATGTGGTTGGGTGTCTTTTTGGGGTTTGTAATAATGTCTAAAAATAAAAATTTCTTTTCCTCAGATTTATTCATTAATTCATGTTGGATCACAGTTTTGCATCTCTAACCTGATTTTAGATACATATTATGTGAAGATTTTCTTGAAAGAAATACAGTACTAGTTCTTTGCAGAGTCTGCAATTCATCTTTGGTGGGGAGAGTTTACCAAAGTTTACTACATTCTCTAATATTTCAAGTTTTAATATTTAATGTTGCTTGAAAGGTGGTTTTACAGATCATGCTCCTTCCTCTTTATGGAATGGCTTTCAAAGCCTTGTGTTGATCTTGGTTGTGCCCAGTGCTTTGCCTAGAGTATGGGGAAATGTAGAACTGGAATAGGCCATGACTTTTAGACAAGGGATGATGATTATCTGCATGCTGAACCAGAACTTCTTCTATATGCCCTTCTGCTGCAACAGAATAATAAAACTGGTAGGTGGCAGCAGCAGCAGAAGACACTCATGACTGTGACCTGAGAAACCTCCAGTACTGGGAGAAATGGATTGCAAAGTACTAACTGGAGTAAGGGGAATGGAGAAGAGAGGCAGAGTCCCTGAACTGTCCCTTTGAATGGTGAGTCTGATTTACAGAATTCTGACCATCAAAAAACTGCTTGTAATACAAGAGGCACATTGATCTATCTCAGTTGGTGTTTGTTCACCTGATGTCCTAATTCTCTTCTTTGACTGAACAATCCAGTTTCCCTTCTGCCTTTATAAGGCATAGTACTTGTCTTAAAAATTAAATTTCACCAAAATCATCACATTTATAGAGTACTGGAAAATAAGGCTGAAAAGAATGCATCTAGCCCAGTCATTCTCTGCTCCACAGAAGACTGTTCATATTTGTGCCATTGGTGAAATGTTCATTGTAACCTAGTTTAAAAACCAAGGAATAAATGAGGAAGATTCTGCAAAATACAGAATTTTATTTTATGAAGGTAAAAAACATCCTTACTATCAGCCAATTGTCAGCCTCATAGGCTGACAGTCTGACTGCTTTTTTTGCTACTTAAGATATATGTATGCCTTAGAAATGCCATGATAATAAAGAACAATGTTATTTTTGGAGATTTCCTAAATCTCAAGGTAGCAAAAAAAGATTTGAATCACCAACAGTTAACATTCTTTTTGGAAGTGGGAAATACAAATTATATAATGGTTCTGAGTTTGTGGTTAAGAGTTGGTAGTTTCAGCCATCTCTTCAGTTCTAAATGGCTCTGAAACTTCTTTGATTGCCTTTGATTTCCTATCAGGAAAAACATTTTGAGCATGTGCCCCAATCAGATGTTTTCCCAAGGTACATATGTGTATTACTACATATGTTGTAAAACTTCCATAAACCCAAGAAGTTAAAAAGGATGAGGTAAAGATTAAATAAAGACTATTTTGAAACATTTACTTAACTGTATTCATTAATGGTGAAAAAACCATTTTCACCCTGCAGCCTTACAGATTGTCTTGCAAAGCTTCCTGGGGAGTGTGGGCTCCTCTTTGGAGACCTCTGATGTAGACACCATAAATACTTACTGTTGCAGATGTCATCAGGATGTTCCACTGTTACAAAACCTCCATGCTAAGTAATTATCTTACTAGAGATTAAAATGCTGACTCTCTAGTAGGATGACTGCTCCTTCTGAAAAGAAAATAAGAGGAGAGAGCAGCACAGGAAACACTGATGAACTGCCTGACACAGGAGAAGTTTGTGTCTGGATCAGCTGATAATATGGAGAAACACTTCCAAGTGGATTGGGAAAAAGGAATTGGGTCAGAATATATACTAATACGAAGAATACAGCAGTAGCTTTTATATTTTCATACGTATTTCTACTTCATTTACAGCTAAGTATCAGTAGATAAATTCCAAATTCTGTTTTCTCTTGTTACCTAGAGTAGTCACACTAAAATCAGGAGCAACACTTATATACAGGAGCTAAGCTGGATCTGAATTTTGATATCCAGGCAGCTAAATAGTCTCCAGTGCACATCAGGTACCACTTAGGACCGTGGACAACTGATGTGCTTTTCTCATTAGCTTCTTAGCTGTCATACAGCCTTTGAAGGTATTCTGTGGGCCACAGGCTGGAAATCCCAGAACTGAATTTTTACAGAGTGAGATTGCATGTGCAAAATGGAAAATGTTTTGGATAGAGAATTGATTTGGATCTTGTTAAATATAATAATGAGCGAAGTCTGTATATGAGATGAAGCTCTTAGAGAAAGAGTTTTAAATCCAGTCAGGCTGGAGATGTGATGAAGAGAAATAATTTCTGATAGTAGAGGTAAAGGAATATGAAGCTCATGTCAGTGTGTCATCAGAGATAGAAATGAGGCAGGAAAATAGATTTTGCTGATCTTGAGCATTCCCAGCTGTTGCTGTAAGGAGGAATCTCACCAGACTTGCCATATGTAATATATGCCAGGCATACTGGCCCTTGGGAACTGGATCTTGGGGAGAAGAGCTGAAAGTTCCATTGATGCACAAACGAAATGTAGCACCTGCCTACTTGAATGGGTGTAAAGGTGTAACTGTAATGGGATTTAAGGTGTAACTGCACTGAGTTTACATGACAGTAGCATTTGGGAAGAAGGGTGTTCCTCTGGCCCTGGACATGGGTCTGTAACTGCTGCTTCTCAACTTAGTAGGAGAGAGAGGCACATAAAGATATGTCAGCTTTTTTGATGAGCAGAGACCAAGGTGACTTAGTCACTGGTCAGGAAAGAATTTTTTTTTTTTTTGTTATAAACAGGAAGGCATTTAGAACACTTTCAGATCCTCCACAGTTCTCCATGTGTCTGTCAGTACAAAAGAGTTCTGGTTTTGTTTTTTTTTCTTTTAGATGTGACATACCCCAAAGCATCCTGTTTTCTGCAGCTTTGATGTGGTAGAGATTTGAAGAAGACAGATTATTTTCCATTCTTGTCATAGACTTTCACAGGCAGGCAAGGGGTGATATTTGTGAAAAGAGGAAATAGATAGGTTCCTCATGCTGACTTAATAGTAGGTGATGGATTAGGCTGATAAAAAAGTTAAAATTCACATTGCACCCATGCAAGGCATTTTCAAGGTGTTTCTGCATCCCTCTTTTATTCTCTTTAGAAACAGTACAAGTGTTACTGAAATATACAGTCTGCATAGTAATATGTCTGTATTAAACTCTGCCAAGTCTGTACATGAAGGGCTTACAAAAGATTTATGGGAATTTCTGTGTCTGCTTTTTTATTTGGAGGCAGGTTGCAGCTATGTACATGCATGGTATGCAGCTATGTACAGTATTCTGTCTTAGGGTAATAGATATTTTTTGCTTATTTGGAAGGAGGAAACTGTGTTTGGACAGTTAAATATATAATACTGTTATCCATTTCTATAGGAAGCAGAACAGCTAAGAAAAAGCATTTTTGTGTTAGACAAATTGCAATATAAATGAGGGTTTTTTAATACAGGAACGAAAATTAAATGTTTCATTAAAAGGTCATTGGAATTTTTTTCAATAAAGTGTTCTAATAAGAAGAAACTAATTTCACAGAATCACAGTATTAGTTAGGTTGGAACAGACCTCTGAGACCATCAAGTCCTAGCCTTTGAACAAACACCATCTTGTCAGGTAGACCATGGCACTGAGTGCCACATCCAGTCTTTTCTTAAACACCTCCAGGGATGGTGACTTCATCACCTCCCTGGGCAGCCCATTCCAATGCTTGACAACCCTTCTGTGAACAGATTCCTCCTCATGCTCAATGTGAACCTTATTCACTGTTGTAATATCTAAAATTTAATAATAAATTAATTAATTTATCACAATTGCTAATTTCCAGAATTTATTAGGACAATCCCTCTTGTACAAATTACCATTTGTTGTTGGAGAGGGAGGGAAGATCCATGTTACAAAAGCCAGTAACTCAGTTGTTGCTACCTCTTTGGCCAGTCATGCATTTCTTCTGTGCAGATTTCCTGGAAACAGTGACAGTGCTGAGCTTCCTTGATGCTTAGTTTATCTGTGTTGTAAAACAGTTACATTTTGGGGAGAGAGAAACTGAAGAGGTGAAAACTGTCCATGGTGTTACATGTACTGAACGGGAAGTTGCTCTGAAGCAGAGAAAGAAGCCTAAGCAGTAGCTGTATGCAGTTACCCTTTTGGTTCTGTCATACCAATGTAGTGGGAGGCCAGGAGTCCAGATGAATGTTTCGGTTACACCTTGATGAGGAATGGGAATGTCACACTGACTGTGCAGCTGTATATATTTCATCTGTAAATATTTCATTTGCAAGAAGTGTGGTTTGTCCAAGAGGGTGTGTGCAGTTTCCCCTCCTGGCTGCTACTGTGCAGAGCACTGCCTGGTAGTCTTTATTCTCTGGATTCTTTCTGTTCAGTGGTATTGTGCATTAAACCTGAAACTTGCATTTTGTGAGTGTTAGGAGGAAACTCAGTGTGCTTGTGTATATATTTTCCCATGCATCTAACCAACACAAGGTGACAGAAACAACACCGACCTTTACAACATTGTATGGGAGGGGTAGTGCAGTTGTAGTGTCATGTAGGAATGCTTGTCCATGCCCAAATAGAAATGGATTTTTACTGGATGGCAAGTACTGAAGTTTTATCAGTGGGAGAACTAATGAGGAAAAGTCTGCAGTTTGACTTAGCTAAACTTTTACACAATTTTTCCTCCAAATGAAATATTTCCACAGGAATCTAAGACGTGTGGAAGATGCTGGATCACCAGGTGCAGAGATTGAACTCTACCCACTGGAAAGGTAACAGGAACTAGATTTTATCTTCAGAACACAGTCCACACTGCATCTCACTCCTGTATCTGGAAAGGCCTTTTCCAAGGTTAGAAGAGGAGTTTGGTACCCATGGCGTAGTTCTTGGTGTGTCTGTGTTCCAGCTATCAGGGAAGCCAGATAGGTGCTGGATACAGAGATTTCTGTATGATATCTGCTTGCATTTCTGATGTTCATATTTTGGAGCAAAGACTAACTTTTTCAATAATTTATTTCTTTAGGTTTTTCTACAGCAGCAGCAGGTCTTCTCCTGCCTCTCATGGGGACACATAGCCTTTTGATAATGCCTCCTTCACAGTGAAGGGAAGAAAGGATGGATCAGCAGGGATGTGCAATGGAGTGATGTCCACATGTGGTGTTAACAGTCATGATCCCTGTCCCACTAACTTGGAGAATTGAATAAAAAAGTTGAATTGTAATTAATGAGAGTGTGAGATTCTTTTTTGTACCTTTTCCACCATCTCCCCTTTTTTGAAGGGGTGGTTAACTTGAGAAATCTGTTGAGACTGTATCAAAGCTGCAGCTAAGCCAGAAGAGTAAAACCTATTGGGTATTCTTCACTTTATTAACCATTTTTTCCTTCCAGGAATTTCATTCCTAAGAGAATTTCATTCCAAATACTTTATATTGACATGAATAATCTTCCCAAATGCCTTAGATATTTTAGTATCAGGCCTTTGGCTTTATCAGTCATGTTATGAGTTCACCTAAGTCACTGAGGGTACAAGTCTCCTGAGTTTCAAAAGTGAAGTCACCATACTGATCATGCTGTACTTCATGGTCACTTTGGTGACTGCTAGAGAAAAAGAGAAGCAACTTGGTTAACCTACAGAGGTAATGTGCCTTTGGGTTTTGAAGCCACAGTGGCAGGGCTTGTTACAGACATGGGCATGGACATTCTTACTATCTGTTGTTTCTGAAGACAGCTAATCTTACCATGGGTTATAGATCTTGCACATGGCTCTCTTGGTTTGTTGTTAGTGAAGCACTGCAAAGGATTAGACACATAGTGATGGCATTTTCATGATGTGCCTACTTGAAATTTGTACAGAATTTACAAAAGTGAAGCAAAAAAAAAGTTATTTTTTCTCAAGATGCTGAGTTGGTACATTATCAGTAAACACCTCTTATCCTTGACATTCTTCCTGTTCCTTTCATTTCATGTATTCAGGATAATTATTTCATGTAAATTTTAATTCCTGCTTTCTGTGTGCTTGTTCTAGTAATTTACACATGAATGTACCTAGAAATGTGGCTGGTAGCCTGTCTGCAGCTATGCCTTTGCTCCAGTAGCTGCAGTTTATGGTTGGATTTTTTGCAAGTCTGTGTGTCACACCATTCCTCTGGCACTTCTGTGAGTGGGTGGAATGGCTGCCCCAACACAGTAATGGACATTTCATCTCTTGTGGTTCAGTGCCTGTTTGTGTGCTGATGCATATGCTGATGCTTCCTTAAGTGCTTTTCTGCCTTAATATTTCATGCCTAAAAAGTAGAACAGCTGAGAACTTTCTAAATTCCTTCTTAGTTTCATATATCCCATCTTGCTAAGCTTCTTCCAGGCCCTGTATGTATTTCAGTTCTCTTATTTTTTTGTGGGTGTTCAGCAGTGTTCTCTGTTCTGTTGCCTCAAGTTTGCTCCTCTTGCCTTTGTAGTCTTTTTTTTTCTTTTTTTTTTTCTTTTTTTTCCTTTTTCCCCCCCCTTGTCTTTTTTCTGCTTTTAACTGGCCCCACATGTTTTTATCCTTGTCCCAAGCACACACACACATATGGTAGCCTAAGAATATTTCTTACTCACTGTCTATCACTGATAACCATTCTTTGTACTACTCTAATAGTGTGTTTTCCTTTTTTCAGAGTGAGAAATGCTCTGTTACTACACATTTCCTTTCAGCATTTCACAACCCTAAATGTGTTAGAAGTAGAATAGAAATTAAAAGAAGTTTATCACTGTGTAATGTCTTAGTAGTGAGTGAAAGTTAGCAAATTGCAATACTGAGGAGAAAGTTCCTGGCTTTTGGACTCATTTATCTGTCTTTGTTGAGAGGGATTGGTCCTGCAATCCACTGGTCCTGCGATCCACTTAAAAGCTCAAATTCTAGATCTGTGGTCAAGAACCTGTTTGGTGTCATGTAGAGTTTTGCTTTCCTTTGTCTTTCTTGTCTTCCTTAGAATTTAAGTACTGGGTGTCAACAATTAAATAGTGATTGGATATTCATGATACAATATTCTGATATTACTTGTACAGCATAGTGAAAACAGAGTAATAACAGTTCAGTAGTGTTAATAGTGACCTGTGCTGAGATGATCAGGGTGTAAACAGTTCCTTTTGCACGTCTGCATTTCCTGTTAATTGGAATTGCACTGTTGTGCCAGCTACAGAAGTGGAGTACTTGTAAAACTCTGCTTTGCTTAGTGTGATGAGATCTTGGGGTGGGGTATATTTGTATTGAGGCCAGACTTGGAGAGAGGTTGTGATTTTGTTTAGCATTAGATCTGGAAAACCTCTGTAACTTGTCTGGACTGCATTCCCAGTTGTGCATGATGTAAACAGACAGCTATGTCTTGACCACTGTCTTTTATTTTTCTGGGTCATTTTCCTTATATTTTGCCTTATCACCTTGGTTGCTTCTCCAATCCACTCTTTCCCTGTCTAGACAACTTGGTTTATCACTGTGCATTTACCTCTAGGTGGTCTGCAAAATCTAGGTTTGGAATCAGACATTGCATCATCATCTCTCTGACCCTGTCATTCCATGCTGTCATCACTTCAGTGTTTTTCCAGACACAGCTTTGGAGGCTGCCCTGCTGCCATGGTAATGTTGAGAAGGGAGAGCGTGCAGTGCAACAACCAGGTCACCTCAAAGGCCCCAAGGGTGGAATCCTTGGGAGAGAGGCTGCCACTGTGTGCTTCTTTCCCCTGCACTGACCCCTTAGTTTAGCTGGTGGTGCACAGGCCAGTCTGATAAGCACAGGCTGATAAGCTCACCCCTACACTGCTTCCTGGCTTGGGCACTTCAGCCTAGACATGGGCTGGCTGTGGAGATCAGCCATCAGTGGGTCACTGCTGCTGTGCTCTTCTGTGCTTTGCACATGTGCCTGGTGCTGAGATGTGGGCAAACTCCTTGGTCTCCTGAATGCTGGCCCTCATCTGCTTTGGATCTACTATCCCAGTTGGTGGAAGGGAGTTGAGCAAGTTGTACTGGGCTCCAAAATCATGTTAAACACATTAGGAAGGGTTTCTGTCAGAGATGGAATACACCTCTATATTTTTATTAGCATTTTAATTCATATTTGTATGTTTTATAACAACAATTTTGAAGATTTCTAATGAAGGCAAAAGTCTTCCTTCTAGTTCTGCTCATCTTTTCCTTCCTGGAGGGCGTATATAGCAGCTGCTGGAGCTGTCTCTAGGGAAGAATCTGCTGCTTCTTCCCTACAGCCCCCAAGAATCAGGAGAAAAAGACAGGGATACAGTGATGTTCTTCCAAGGGAAAAGACTGGGAGGCTGCTCTCTAGCATTCCTGGTAACCATCCATGTTCAGTAGCTTAGCAGTAACAACAGTTGTACCTAGCAGTCTGATATAGGAAGCAGGGAAGGAAGGGACAGTATCCCTTACAGCTGTGATGTCACTAATGCACAAGAAGTCACATTCCTGTAGGGATGAGGGAGGGTGGAGAACTCAGGCTTTTGGAAAAATAAAAAACCAATCTCCACAGTTTTCTAGTGTCTTCTTTCCAGACTTGTGGACAGTGCTGTGTTAGAGGGAAGAATATCTGCCTAATCTTCCCTATAGCATCCCTCTGCGCAGCTTTCTGTGGTCCTATATGCAAGGTAAGACTGAGGGAAGAAGTGCTCTCAGAATCATTCAAAGTGCTCTCTGCAGCCTGAATACTTTTGTGTCTTGGATTGGGGATCTCTGGTCTTAGCCCAGTCTTAGTAACAGCTCATGTATTTTGAAAACAGCTGAATTTGTGAGCAGTGAATGGAAATGAAGAATTGCAGCCCAGTTATGAGACTTCACTCTGGAACAAGCAACCCTTGAAATAGGAGAGGAGGCCCAGTAGAGGGAAGGAAAGTGTTTTCAGTATCTAAATTTCCAGATTTAGTTAGGGGTATGTGTGCAACTTTCTGTTATAACACTGCTGGATCTGATACCATCAGTTGTCACATGGAGTCGCTTCAGGTGGGAGATGTTAAAGGAGTCCAGCCTTGGTTAGATGCAGGGGACTGTTTGGTGTAAGAGCAAAAGGGTAAGATGGGTTCCTAATGATGCTTTCCTGTTTAAACTCTACTCCTCCTATTGCTCCCATTGCTCTACTGAGATACCTTTTTGCATTGTGATTTGGTAGGAGGCTTTTTTGCTATAATTTCCAAGGTTGACAGTTTTTAACTGTTGCAGATTTCTCTCCTGCAACCAAATTAAGGTCTTGAGACTGGCCATTGTTTTAAAGATATTTATGTATCTGTTACCTCACCTGAAAGGATGGGGTTGGGGCACAGAATTACATATTTCTGCTCAGTTTTGTGGGCTGTGGTTAATGTCCCTTTGTGCAAGGCAGTTTTGCATCACTGGTGTGGAGCCCCTTCTGGCTTTTACACCATCTGAGTTAGCTGTGTTTCCTTGGAAGTTTAGTTACTCATTGAGGCGAAGCTGGCATTCAGCATGTGTTACTATAGACTGTACCAAAGATGAGCCTACTCTGGAAGGCAAATAGCCAAAGCAGATGACAAATGTGACAGGACACAGGAAGAGAGCATGTCGGGAGCTATGAGTTGTAACTCATCTGTGGTGCAGTGACAGATATCCATTATGCTGTAGAGCCCTTTGGATGGAAAGTGATGAAAAACAACCAAGATTCTGTCTGTTGGCTGGCCACTATGCTTTGCATGCATCCTGTTTTTCACCTTCCTATAGGGAATTACTGCCAGAGTCACACCACGCTTGCAGGTAGAAATGTTTGTTCTTGAGCAACTGTGCAGCGACAGGAAGGGCAGCAGGGACCCACCTGCCCAGGCTTAGGTGCAGTTTTCTGTCATGAGGGGAGCCCCCAGTGAGCTACCTGCAGCTGAAGATGCCAGCAACAAAAGCAAGGATGCAGCCCCAGGAATTTAGCACTGAGGACACTGCAGACCCATTTTTGAACATGTTTTTAAGGTATCCAAATCTTGCAAAATTACTAGTCACAGCCATCAACTTTTGATTAAACTTCCATCTCTTTCCTCTAGCTCACATGATTGGTGTTTAATGTCACTGCATTCAGTATCCCTTGGAGCAGAACACACTGTGGTGCATTGTTTTGTTTGTGTAGAGCTGGAAAGCAGGTCATAATGTGTTGCTTTCGTTGCCTGGAGGAGTTCAGCATCTTTTAATTATGTGGTTTTGGAAGTTTCCTTTAACAGATGTAACCCTTAGGAGCTGGAA